GACTTAGCAGGGATGGGGAGGGGACTCGCAGACATTCTGTTCCAATATGTATGATTCCTTGATCCAGTAGAGCTTTGAAATAATTGTGGACTACAATGAATAGTCAGGTATTCTGATGCCCTGGGAGCAGGTTCCCTGGACTTAGCCAGAGTGGTGCAGATAGGCTGCTGGCCTAGCCTCCTTCCCTTCCCCAAGGCTGGCCTGGAGTCATTCTGGCCTCGGGGTGGAGGTAAGTGGCAGTCATCAGGGCATTGCCCTCCTGATCCCACTGTCCCTGGCTCTTTGGGGTAACTGCACTCAGCATTCCAGTAGGGCCCCTCTCAACTCCAGCTGCTTCTTCACAACTCACTTCATCCACGATTTGCATTAAGTATTTTTGGCACCCATTTTCCTGTTGAATGTAATGTGCATATGCATGTGTGTATTTTTTTTTATCCTAATTATTTGCCAGAGTAAGAGACCAAGGGTATCTTTTTGCCCATTATGGACAGAGAAATTCCCATGTTTATTCATAAAATGACCAAGATAGCACCAGTTATCCTACCTTTGAGTCCCTCACTGGAATATAATCCAACACAAAAAGGAGGCCTGTTCAATGCTGGAGTTAGTCTGAGGAAACACTCTATGTCCTGAGAGTCTTTGCTGCAGGTTACATTAATGCCCCCATCCACTAGCAGAGCCCAGTATATGACAGCAGCAAAATCTTCACGTCCTGAGCTCATTTAGCCAGAGAAAAGTTTCTAAACTAAGAAGTCATAGACTCTCAAGGCTATTCTCACAGCATTGCTGATTGTCTCTTCTGAGGCATCTTTAGCCCTTGACCTTCTCCTGACCCTATAGCTTCAAGCTACCTCCCTCTCACCTCTCAATGGCTACTGACACCACAAGTCCTTGCTTCCTAACCAAATCCTCCTCCCTTATCCCACTTTTAAGACCTTGAAAATCCTTCCACTCCTGGTCCTTCTCCAGTCTTTCTCACTGTGTTGCAGCCCTGATGAACACTACCCATTCAACTCTAGTTTCCCCTGCTCCCCTCAAACCTGGGACACATGTCCTGTGTTCCTCAGAACTGATCCTGGACAAGCTTCTCTTACCCTTCTTTCTTTAACACTGCCATTTTCCCCCATTCAGGCTCTAAATCCTGGTAGAGCACAGACAAAGCAATAGAAACAGGGAAACTAAGCAAGCCTTGCAGCTACTCACTCACACCTCCGTATGTGCAGATGCATGTATGCCCTTGCTTCCCTGCACACATACCCAGGCACATAGCTCCAGAGAGTGGTGAAATGGAAATGACAAGCGAGAGAAGACATAAGGAAGGGAATGCAAAGGGAAGAGAACAAGGAAAAGTAAGAATCAAACAGATTTGAGATAAAAGGCTAGGATGAGGGTTGGTGAAAAAAATAATAGATCTTAAAGGACATGAAAATTACATGGAAGTCAAGTTTGTTAAAGATTCTAACAGGTTAAAGCCATATTCTGATTGTAACACAATGAAATCAAACTGGGAGATAACATACGGACCAGGAATTGGGTCCTACAGAAGCAACTACACACTTTCAAATCTGGACAACATGGCTTAGCAGCATTTTGCTAAAAGAGAATTAGGGATTTGAGTCAACTCAAAGCTCAGTATGAGTCACCAGGGCAAGGTGGCCTCTAGAGATGCTAATGCAGTATCGACCTCATTTTAAAGGGCTCTAGACAAATAGGAGCATGTTCTTGGAGGTCAGTCGGGCTGGGGAGAGGACTGGAGCGCAGGCTCCAAGAGGTCTGGTGGGAGGTACTGGGGCCTTTTGGAGAATACTCGGGGATGTGGTTTCTACTTCATTTATCTGTCACAGAGCAAAGGGCATAGACAGGGTCCATGTGGCCACAAGGCACATCGTTGGACCCATGGGTGGTTATTTTTAAAAGGTAGATTTTCATTCAATAGAAGGAAGGCATTTTCTAACAATTAGAACTATTCAAAGTAGAACAGACTGCCCAGAAAGGCATGAGGTCTCTGTCACTGGAGATATAGAAATAGCAGCTAGACAATCATAGGCTGTCATATTATAGAAGGGCTCCTGCCTTGAGGGAAGATGATTAGACTAAATTGCTGTTAAGGCTCCTTCCAACCCTAAGATTCTAGGATGCTGTATGTTACAATGAGCAAATAGAAAAAGAAAGAATATGGTGAGAGTGCTGGGGTTGCTAGCTGAGTCACAGTTGTTGGGTGTGGGGAGAGGATGCTGTGTATAGGAAAGAACTGATGCAGAGAAGAGAAACTACATGGTTAAGAGTGGGTGAGGAGGAGCCGGAGAGGGTAGACAGCAAGTGGAGTGGCTGTAGATCACTAGTTCAGATTTTCCATTTAGCCATCCCTTTCATGTTGACAAAGTCTTGTGTTCTAGCCATGCAAATTTAGCAGAACACACAAGCTCAGAACCAAAGAGAAATTCAGCTAAACCTAGAAGAAATGAGGCTAGAAAGAAGTCCAAATGTTGCTAAATATGGCCAAGCTAACCTGCTATACTGATACTGTGCCCCTCCAGTGTGGTGACGCATGCTGCCATCAGACAGTGTGTTGCCATGACAATGGTCAGTGTGGAAAGGCTGCTGAATTTTCTGATTTCTGAAAAATTTTCCTGTCTACAAGACTGTTATTTGTTCTTACATATAAAAACCTCAGTGAAGCTGGATATTTTTCACTGTACCTCCCCTCCACCTCTCCTCGCCCCGTGAAAAACTAAGAGTAGGATGTGGGACACAGATTGCTTTGGGGAGGTAAGATGGCAATGAGGGAATGAATGGATTCAGCTCCACTCTATGTGAGGGACTTCAGCCAGCATGTCTAGTTGAATTTGTTTAGCCTTGAAGCTTGGGTTTTTTCTCTTTCTCGCCACATCCCTTAGAAGGGCAAAAGATGTGATTGTAGCCTATTGGAAATCAAACCTGAGAAGATTCATCTTACAGAGATGCATTCCACATGCCACAGGATGACTGAAGGGACAGGCAAATTTAGACCTCACCTTATCCCATCTTTACTGCCCATTAGTCTTCCTGAGAGGAAAAAAGACCCACAAAATCATGGAGAGTCCATTCAAGCTGTTAGCTTCACAAAGAGAAAAGCTCCTCTCATGCCAGTGGGCTATCTTGAAGGCATGTGTCGTCGTTCATAAGAAAGTACAGGTTAGAGAGCAGATGACTTGGCCCAGCTCATGACTGCCACTGTAAAATCATAGTCGCACCATCTTCATATGCTTAAAGCTGGTCGCCTTTCCTCTGGTTAATGTACTCCAGAGGAATTGGCTCATGTGAACCTTCCAGAATTGAAATAATGCTGATATGATTAATCCCCAGGGAGGGCTAGCTCCTCAAGCCTGGCTAGCTCTGCATGGGGAAATGCAGACAGAGGTAGGAGGCTTTCTAGTCTCTGGTACTGATGGCATTTGAATCAAGTGGAGGCCCCTAGGAGACTCAGAGCTCCACACTGCAGCACAGGCCCAATCCTCTTGGGGAGCAGGAGTGGGGGAGTTGTGCATTTGTGAGAATGTGTTACAGTTGTGACCGGAGGTTTCAACACTTGCTCTGTGTTCCCAGAACTATTCCCCAAGTTTGACTGGGACAGAAAAAGAAACAAACAAGGTCAGGAAGAAAAGAGGAGGAGGAGAGGAGGAGGACACAGAAGACACAAGGGAAGAAAAAGGCCTTGCATGCATCTGCTCTTTTTTATCCTTATTGAAGGAGATAAGATGGCAACCTAACAAACTGATATGGGTATGGACAGAAACAACACAGATGAAGAATAAGAATAATAGCTACTATTTATCTTACAGGTGAGGAAGCTGAGGCTCAGGGAGGATAGGTGACTTGGCCAAGGTTGCCTTTATTTGTTCAGCAAGTAATTACTGAACACCTACTGTGTGCCCCACACTGTGCTAATAAGCAACAGAGTGGACATTGGAACCCAGGCCTGGATTGGAGCTTTAGAATCAGGCTGTTTGACCTTTCTGGTGCCCCTCCTCTTCTTTGCAGCATTGCTCTGTCAAATCTACTTGTCATCCCATCTGCTCTTTCCAATCACCCCTAGTAAACCCTCCTACCTCATACTACATGCCCAGCTCCTTCCATGTGGCTAATCCTAAGCACCTAAAGTCTCATGGCTCCCTGGAAACGGGAAGAAGACAGCCTTGAGCAACCTTCGAAATTCTGGCCCTCCACATAGGCTTTTTAGCCCTCCCTAGGTCCCACCCCATCCCCTCCATACTGTAATCAGAAGCTTCTAGCTCCCTTTCTAGGTGAGTAGAGAACGAAAAGATATGGATGGAACGTAGAAGAAGCCAGCTCACCCAACTC